GAGTCTTTTCCAACTCATAGGGATGCCATGTGAAAGAGTAGAGTTTTCCATAAGGTTTTCTTTATGGAAGTAGATTCCCAGGTCTTTCTCTCATAGAACTTCTAGGTGGTTTGAACTGCCAACTTTTCTGTTAGTTGTTGAGTACTTAACTGTTGCATCATGGGGATAATAAAACTATTATGATTTTTTTTTTTTTTTTGAGGAACCAACCTGTGGTGTGCTTAATGTGGAGCCTGGCCCAGGTTTGTTTTCAGTAATGGTTCTTGTGATAAATACTGAATCACAGCAGAAGTACCCGCTAAGGCAGTTGTACTTTGTCCTACAGAATTTTTATGAGTAGGAATCAACTCCACAGTAACATTTATTTCCCTTTTTTTAATGTTGATGGTATAGAGGTTTACTACAATTTACTCTAAGTTTTACATTATCTACATTTGGGGACTATTTTAGATTCGTAGTTATATGCATGTGTGTTTTCATATATGTGTGTGTATGTATGTTGTTGTTGTTAAGTGCCGTCGAGTTGGTTCCAACCCATAGCAACCCTGTATAGGGTTTCCGACGAGTGGCTGGTGAGCTTGAACCACCGACCTTGCGGCTGAAACCTATGTGCAGCCCAGTGCATTAATCAACAACACCACACACATATATATGGATGTGTCTCTCTATATATTTAATTATATTTGACCATGTGAGTTTCTTAGGGTCTTATTCCAAAGATTGGGTTATAACAGAAATTAACCTCCATAGCAAAGTTTTAAGTGGCTTTGCTTTTTTTTTTTATTTCGGGTCAGCTTGCATCTGTTTTGCTTTGCTCTGAGCAGAATGCCACTAGAAATCATGGTTTGTAATGTTGCTGCAACTATCAAGTATACCTTGTCTGATTTTGTTGTTAAGTGCGGTCAAGTTGCTTCCTACCCATAGCGACACTGTATAGGGTTTCCGATTCGTGGCTTACTGAGCTTGAACTGCCGACCTTGTGGTTCAAGCAGACTTTGCAGTCCAGCTCATTAACCCACAGTGCCACACCAGGACTTCTGTGACAGGACAAACATAGTCTGAATGACATAATAGCATGTGCACTCCCAAAAGAGTAATATTTTTGTTGATAGAAAGAAGGCAAATTTATTTTCTAGTATGTTTAAGAAAGAACCCTGACTCAAGAGGAAGGATTTCTAAGTTATGTCGTGGGTCTTGGACCTCAGTTTTCTTATCTGTGAAGTGAGTCTGGCACTCAGAGATGGGTCGAAGAACTAATTACTCCTCTTCTCCATTCAGCCATAGCTGTCCTATCATTAGTTTTTAACCCTGATATGCCTTGTTATTTTTTATAAGACTTTGTGTGAAATAAAGTATTCTGTTATTTAAAAAATTTGAAAACCTCTAACCTTTAAGGGTCCTTTCAGTTCCAAAAAGTTTTGTAAAAATACAGCAAAATTATGTTTCTATCAATTTTCTAATACATGTTTGATTTTTAAGTTTCACTAAAATACAACACAATCATGTTTCAGAACCATTTTAAAGACTTTTTTCCCCCCCTCTCTCTGTGATTTGTTTAATTATAGAGGAAGGCTGTATCTTTTCTCCAAGATTTGCTTTTTGTTGACTTAATCCAAATCCCACTAACACTAGTACAAAATCATAGGCATGCTGAATTTCATCCTTTATTTTGTACCATTCAATCCTTACATCCAGGCTAACCTTGGAAGAAACCATGCTATAATTGTGTTGTTAAGTGTCACTGAGTTGGTTCTGATTCATAGCGTCCTCATATAGGTTTCCAAGGAGCGACTGGTGAGTTTGAACCACCAGCCTTGTATTTCAAACTGACCTTAAGGTCAAATGCTTATCCTATGGTGCCACACCAGGGGACTCCATGATATAGTAGTATATATTCAGTAAAAATATGTATTCATGTCTTGTTTTCAGAAATTTCTCCCCCAAGTCACCTCTGATGACCCCATAGAATCATGAAGGTGAAAGGGATGTAGAAAAGCATCTCACCTCACTGCTTTATGTTGTGACTGTAGAAAATGGGGCCATGTGAGAGTAGAAACATTTGTCTAGGACAAGATGATGAACCATAACTCAAATGCCAGTCTTCGCCACTTCCGTTCTCTTTTTGGCAGGCCTATGTTGTAACCTCCTGTTATCTGTATTCTGATTGTAAAATGGAGACAATAATAATAATCTTATCTACCTGCAGAGGTGTGCTTGCACCAAAGAGACTTTCCAATACATGTTGGCTATTGTGATTATTATTACAATCATTACTATACTGCTGTATTCTGGTAGCAGTTTTCCTAAGGTACAAACTGTTGGAAGTATCCTGTTATGGAGACTGTGTCTTCCATCTCCCAAACAAGTGGCTAAAATGCTATCTTCTTCTGGTGTCCTCTATTTCCCCAGGACACTGCTCCCTGCTGGGTCACATTGGGTGGGTAATTGGTTTTATTTAGATAAATGAGTTCCATCCTAATATTCTATTGTTTCTAAGTGCCCTTGAGTCAGTTCAGACTCATAGCCACCCTGTATAGGGTTTTCCAGGAGTGGCTGGTAAGCTTGACCCACCAACCTTTTGGTTCAAACTGACCTTGCAGTCTAGTGCATTAGCCCACTCCATGCTAATAAACTGGTTGCTTAATGTTAACTCTAATGGGTAAGAATGCCTTTTTATTGTTGTTAGCTGATGTGGAGTGGAGCTAGCTAGGACTCATGGCCAGCCTTTGAATTCCAGAGTAGAATTGCTCCGCAGGGTTTACTTGACTGTAATCAACAAACCTTTCTTCTTCCTAGATGCTGAGTGGGTTCAAACTGTCAACTTTTAGCTTAGCAACCAATCACAAACTACTGGCACTACCCAGGCTCAATAATACCTTCACTCAGTGCATTTTCCCAGAAAATCTTTAAGGAAGACTGACTTTAACGAGGTGATTTCAGCTAGTGTGGCAGCTGAGTGAGTGAGTCCTTTTGGATAAAACAGATCTATCATTTCACCTTGAACCAGGTACGCTCCCCATTAGCATGCATGGGAACAGTCATGCCATCTTCAGTAATGCTCACTGCTAACTTCGGATAAGTGAATGTCAAATGGGTGAGCATGTAGGATTCAGACTCCATCATTTTATTACTCTGTCAAGGTCAAATGAATGGCTCTTGAGCAATGAAGAAAAGCTAGGCCTCACCTTTAAGTAGAGCTTACTTTTGAGTTGTTGTCGCTAAGAGCCGTAGAGTCAGTTCTGACCCATAGCGACCCTGTACAGGGTTTCCGAGGCTGTAAATCTTTACAGGAGCAGAATGCCTCATCTTTCTCCCGTGGAGCAGCTGGTAGTTTCGAAATGCTGACCTTGTGGTTCACAGCCTGATTCGTAACCACTACGCTACCAGAGCTCCTTCAAATAAGTTTATTTTGCTTTACAGTCCTGGTATGGCATTATAGGATAAAGTACCGGACAGGAAGGTTGGTTTGAACCACAAGGTTAGCAGTTCAAATTCACCAGCTGCTCCGTGGAAACCCACTCAACAGCATTTAACAAGAATCTGATAGATAGAAAAAGAATACTGGGAATGGGATTGAAGAGGCATTACCTGCTGTGAGGAAAAATCCTGTAATAGGGCATGTTGCAACCCGAATCTTAGGATCCCTGAGTGTCAGGTTTGAAATGGCTGTGGGGAAGTGGTGGCCACTTTATGTAGAAGTTTGACCATTAGCTCTGGGATGCCCAAAAGCAATCTACCTGAGCCCTGATCTTATGTATCTTTCTGTCTTTGGTTCCTCAGCCCCTCCTGTCTGTCTGACTCCTGTGTTCCAGAACATTCTACTTCACTGACATTGTCAGTAACCAGACACTGACAGTCCTTGCAGCTTTGTGAAGCTGACATTCCCCAGTCATCCTCTAAGGACTCACCCAAGGGGTGACCCCTTGAGAAATAAGTGGCTTTATCAATGGGAAAGGATCTCTGGTAGCATAGTGGTTACGAATTGGGCTGCTTATCTCACCGTCAGAAGTTCGAAACTACCAGCTGTTTTGCAGGAGAAAGATGAGGCTTTCTGCTCCCGTAAAGATTTACAGCCTTGGAAAGTCTATGCAGGGTCACTATGAGTGGGAACCAGCTCCAGGGTACATAACAACAATAATAATCAACAGGATGTGTGTGTGTGAGAGAGAGAATGGGGGGGAGGGGGAAGCTCCCATTAGCAGGAAAATACCAGGACTTACTAAATGTGATGTGTGTCAACTTCTTTAGTTCCTGTCAATTGCTTTAATATTTCAAAATGGACCTGGCGTGTGTGTAAAGCATTGTAAAGAAAAGCTCCAACAGTAACTCCAGGGAACCTCGTCCCTGGCATTTGCCCTACCACCCTCGAGGACGGCACAGTTCCTGTCCTGCGGATTTTCGCGCGTGCAGCCCGTGTTATCTATCTGGTGCGGGATTCTGGAGCCATTGAAGCCCTCGACTGGGGGCCCTGCGTGGCTGCGGCCCGGGAGCCGCGGGCTGCCCTCGGAGGAGAAAGTGGCCGAGTGTGCGGGACTGAACGCGGCGAGCCTGTGCCAGGCGGACCGCGGAGCCCCTCGCCCTCCCTCCCTCGGCGCCCGCGGGTGTGAACCAGACGCCAGTCCCGCGCGCTGACTGACGACTTTTCTCTCAGTTGTCAGTTTTCTCGCTTGTCAGCAGAGCTGCTGGTAAGTGAAAGAAAGCAGCGAGGGGGCGCGCAGCCTGCGAGGCACCGGGAGAGGGGTGCGTGGGGAGCCGCTGGCCTCGGGAGAGCAGGGGGCACAGGTCGGAGCAAAGCGTGCTCCCCTAGCCCCCGGACCACCCTCCCTGCGCCCACTCCCCGCTGGGCTCTACCTCTCTCTTCCCTCCCCTTCGCACTTTCGCCTTCCTCTCTCTCCTCCCCACCCAGTCTCCCTTTCTTCCCCAGGTCTTTCAGCTTACACACTGTTCCTTTCCTTGGCTTTGCCATAGACCGTCCAAATAGATCCCAGGTGCCTTCTCTTTGGGCAGTAGTGTGAGACCATGGCTGGTGTCCGCAGCTGCCTCCGGGGCGCACCTGAAGCCGAGGTCGCCTGCGGTCTGAGCCCGCTCTGAGTCTAGATTTGGGGGCACGGAAGGGGAAGCGCACCAGAGAGGGCGCCAGGCAAAAGCGCGCAGCTCCGGGCTGGGGATCGCGGGCCGGCCGGATCGGCGACAGGCGGGGAGGGGACAGCCCAAACTCTCTCAGTCTCAGTCCCAGTGATAACCTGCAGTTATGGAGTCTCCGACCAAGGAGATTGAAGAATTTGAGAGCAACTCTTTGAAATACCTGCAACCGGAACAGATCGAGAAAATCTGGCTGCGGCTCCGAGGACTGTAAGTAAATCTCTTCATTTCTCTTGCCACCATTATTTTACTACCTAGTCCCAATCACAACTGCATTGCCCTTTCAATAACAGCCCTGTAAGTTCCACAACTGCTTCTCTGTTAATTACAGTCATTGATAGCTTTCTACAGAGAGGGCTGCATTTCTGAATCTCAGGATACCTTATTATTTTCAAATCGGTGCTCTTTTTGGGGGGGGGGGGCAGAAGAGGAGATGTCAATTGATAAAAGTTCAATAGGCACTTACGTGTTTTTGCCTGGGAGAAGTTTGTGGGATCCTGGTCAAGGACTTTTAATCAATGGAAGATATTCCACCACCCCCGCCCCCCTTTACAAATGGTTCAAATTCAGGGTGCATACTCCCCACTAAATTCTCTTCTCTCTTGGCTCTCCCCAGCCCAGTTAAATTTCTGATATTTTCTTAGGATACTTTCTAGTAGACAAATGCTTATGGGAAGGACATGCTCTTGTGGAGAAAGTAATTGGGGTTTTCTAAGCAACACTAGAACAGTGAAATAGGACATTTAAATATAGTGCTCAGAATTCTAGACTGATCTACAGAAATCTCTAAATTTTATTCACTTCCTTGGGTTCTGAGGAGAGGTGGCCAGGAAATAACATATTTTCTGTGATGTGGTTTCATAAATACCCGAATCAGAGAACCTTAGTGATAGCTATACATTTGCAATTTGCTCCTCGGTTGACCACACAGATCCCAAGATACCCCTCCCATAGCTATCAGATACTCAACGTCATTAGATGTATGTTGTTGTTGTTGTTAAGTGCCATCAAGTTGATCCCAACCCACAGCAACCCTGTATAGGGTTTCCTAAGAGCGACTGGTGAACTTGAACTGCCAAACTTGTGATTCAAACCAATAGCATCCTTCCAAGTATATTTTCCGACATTCTGTTGCTACCCAGGGCAGTGATGGAAAATCAGTTTCCCATCAATTTGCTTGTTTAGCTGCAGTTACTGTTTTTGAAAGCATGCATATACATATAACACATACATATATACACATTCAAACACATATCAAATAAGTAAAGGATCTGACTTATGTTGGCTTTATCTTAATGGCGACTCTACCCCCCAAGCAAGATATTAAAAATTTCTTAGTCAAAGCGATTTGGGAAGTGCTTTTGTTATTGTTGTGTTTCTTTTCAGGGAGTCCCAAGTGAAAGTACAATTTATAAAAGCCCTCCTGTCAGCAATCCAGATAAGCTTTGCTGCCATTGATCTAATGGGAAACCACACTACTTAATTTGATTTTTCAATCTCCTGGCCAGCACAAGTAGAGGCTGAAACTTATTTGGAAATCATGTCTTTTTGGCTGGCAAGTCCCCCGAAGGTTTAGGTACGTGCAACGCAGAAGCACATTCAGTCTAAGTACAGAGTGTTGCATTTGATTATACTATGGTACAAATAAAAAATTTATTGCATTCATTGAGTCTGGGTCTGAGACATACAATGTGTAAGTTATACAGCTGGTTCCTTGCCATCCTCACAAGAAGGACTGGTGTTTACATACTGAGAAACTGCTTCTCTTGGGCTGTTTTACAATTCATACTGACTCTGCTAGCTTCTCTGACTAGAGACAAGTATTTGGCCAAATCCACAAGGCTGAGGTGGGAATGTGTGCCAAAAAGCATTTAGCACTTACAATAATACCCTGTCTTATAGCTTTCTCTGGTTCATATCTGTTAGGCTTCTCTCCCCTAGGTGTTGCAGTGTGATGTTTTCACATTTTCATTTTCTAGTATGTCACATTTACCCAATACCCCTTGCCTTTGAACATAAAAGGTATGGGCAGATTTTTCTTCAAATGTATGCTTTTGAATCCCTCTACTTCCTCTCCTGTGGAAAGGTCCTGTCCAATAACAATCCCATGAGTTCTAAAGCTTCACAGTCTCAGTTGAAGAGGACATGTTATTATATTTTTACTACTATTATGATTTTTACTACATTGTGTTATTATATTTTTACTACTATTATGATTTTTACTACCACTTTTTTTTTTTTTAAACAAAACAGTTGCTCAAGACACATGCTCATTCATACAACGTGGAATAATGCTTTGGTAGTCCACAAAAATAGATACTCTTGGGAGATGGAAGCGTGTGTATATGTTTGTCTATACAGTAGAGTATGGGTCAGAGAAAAGAAGCTCCTCTGTCAACATTTTTACAAAGGTTCAATAGCCATAATTAGATTTTAATATCAATTTATGACCATGATACCATTATAGATAGGGTTTCATAAGTGAGCACAGATGGTCAGGGATTCAGTTCAGCTTGTTGAAGAGGCATCTAAGTGAAGGGTTTTATTATCTCACACCTGGACTAAGCAGTGGTATTTTGTCTCTTTCTTGCTAATATCCCCTGTTCAGTCTGGTGTTGAATTTTAATCTCCTCCATTAGAAATTAAATTCTATGTGGACAGATAGTGTGTGTCTTTCTCACTGCTGTATCTCTAGGGCCTAGAATAGAATTTGGCACATAGTAGGTGCTCAGTCAATATATGATGAAGGAAGCATAAAAACTAAATTTTCTATTATTAACAATTCATTCTTAACATTCAAAATAATGGTACGTATATACTTCATTCAGCTATAAAACTTATCAATACAATATTACATGTGCTGGATAGAAGGAGGTTTTATTACCCAGGTTGGAGCAGAGACATTTGAGCTGAGGTAGGAACTGGGCAAGATGTGGCTGAGTGCCAGTCTTGTGTTTATCTTTGGTTGCTTTCTCTTTATGTCCCGTTACTTTTAGCTGCTGTTCAGTCTGCCCTCAACTCTTGGTGGAAAAGAAACTCTGCCTGGTCCTCAGCCATCCCGCTGGTCAGTATAGATCAGACAGACGGCTGTGATCCGGAGGCTTTCACTGGCTGATCTCCCAAAGGAAACCTACAGGCCATTCTTCTTAGTCTGTCTTAGTCTGGAAGTTCTTCTGAAGTCTGTTTAGAGCGACAGGATCACACAAAACAGATGAGTGGTGCTGAACAGGAAGTGTGTTGACTGGGAATGAAATTCAGGCCTCTCACATGGAAAACAAGAATTCTATTACTGACCCACCAATGCCCTGTTAACCTCCCTTTGACCCCTTTTCTACACTGCTGGGAAGTGGCCTTTATTAGCAACAAGCAAATTGCTGTGGTCATCATCCTCAGGAATCTGTAGCCTAGTGTGATACTGGGGAGCTGATCCTGTATACATTATAGTTCCCACCATCCCTTTTTCTTGATTTGTTTTTCTCTCCAGCACTTCTCACCAGCTCAATTGTTGTTGTTAAGTGCCATTGAATCAGTTCCGACTTATAGCGACCCTGTATAGAGTTTCCTAGGAGCAGCTGATGAGCTTGAACCACTGACCTTGAGGTTCAAACAGTCCTTGCAGTCCAGCGTATTAACCCATGGCGCCACACCAGGACTCAATAGTTGTTGTTGTTATGTGCCGTGGAGTCGGTTCCGATTCATAGCGACCCTATACAGGGTTTCCAAGGCCGTAAATCTTTACGGGAGCTGAAAGCCTCATCTTTCTCCCGTGGAACAGCTGGTAGTTTCGAACTGCTGACCTTGCGGTTCACAGCCTTATTTGTAACCACTACACTACCAGAACTCAATAATGGATGGTTTTATTTATGTATTATATTTATTGCCTGTATCTCTAACCCAACTCTAATATAAGCTCCATGAAGACAGGGATTTTTGTCTTCTTTGGTGTTTGGTGTATCCCCAGTGCTTACAATACTACCTTATTGTTGTTGTTAAGTGCTTTCGAGTTGAGTTGGTTCTGACCCATAGTTACCCTGTATATATAGTGGCTGGTGAGTTTGAACCACCAACCTGTCGACTCAAACTGACCTTGCGGTCCAGTGCATTATCCTGCAGCGCCACACCAGGACCTAGCACATATTAATTATTAATACATATTTGAACACCTAGGTCTGTTTCCTGTTTCTCTAGAAAGGAATTAGGAAGTACTCATAACTAGCATTGTAGCATCATCAGAATGCTAATAGTGCGTTAATGTGAGCGCTAAATAAATACTAACAACACAAGCTGAAATGATGAAAAACTGCAGGCATAGCTGTTTGTGATTGTGATGACTCCCAATTTCTCTTGAGTGAGGCGCTGTGCGCTAATACAGAGAAGCCAACTGTGACTTAAGTGATGTGGTCCTCCCCAGCCTCCCTCCCCAGCCCCACCCTTTTGTCGCATGTCTACAGTTCCCTAAGTTGAAAGGGAACAGTGCGTACCTGAACATCCTTAATTAAATCTTTCACAAGGATGCTGCCCTCTTACTATGATGTCCCATTCCTGCTTTTCTGTCATCCTCTGTTCTCCCCCATGGGCTGTTGTCATGCCTAGTTCCTCTGTAGGAGTGGGTGGAATCTGTTAAGAACCCCTCCCAATCACTGTTTTGTGAAGGAATCTTCAAACTGGGGAAAATATGACTACGGATGTACTTTATTTCCCTGATGATGGCTCAAGGCAGCTTGGGTTGGAGCAGCTGGGCCACAATTTGCACTTTGGGTTTTCTATTGTCAGCCTGCTATCTGATGACAAAAAGGTACTTTTGTACAATTTTTGTTTTTTAATTTTTTAATTGAGATCCAGATAACAGGTTTCACTAAGGTGAATGATACCTTGGAATTTTGCCACATTTGTAATGATCTAAGCTACACATATATGTTAGTATCGTGTATTTAGTTCGCTTGATTGTGAGGGGTTGTTGTTAAGCGCTGTGGAGTCGATTCTGACTCATAGCAATCCTGTATAGGGTTTCCAAGGTTGTACATCTTTGTGGGAGCAGAAAGCCTCATCTTTCTCCCACTGAGCAGCTGGTGGACACAAACCGCTGACCCTGTGGTTTGCAGTCCAGTGCTTATCCTCTAGAGCCAGTATAATAAATTGATGCTTATATAGAACTCTCCACGAAGATGATGAAAACTTTTTTTCATTTCTAAAGTAGCTTTATAAAAATA